ACACACACACACACACACACACAAGCCCTGCACATTCCCACACAGCCAAGCCTCACCACGGGAGAACACTACTGAAGATAGATAACTTGAGCTGCTCCTGCCAATATCTTCATCTGACCTTGATAAGAGAAATTCTGCAGAGCGTCTTCAGTATTTTTGGCTTCAGTGAAAGTTTAATGATCCCTTTGGCAAAAGTAAGTCAAATAAAATAAAGGATCAGAGCGAGTGAGCAATTTGTTGCATGCAGATTTACTTTTTGCACCTTAACTTTTCTTTGCCTCTGTCCAGTGTGTCATGCTTGGGTAAAAAATATTTATTTTTAGTCTTTTTTATATATAGAACATTGTAAAGAAAACAAACAGAGATAAGAAATACCAGAAAATACACACAGGACATATACACACATATTCATACCCACTGACCTTACACCAGTATCAAATGAATGCAAATAAAATGATCCACTTTGTTTCAAGTAAAATCTAGATTTCCATATTTCCTGATATTCATGTTTGGTTCCCAGAACTGAACAAAGTCTTTCGGCTTGTTCTTAAAAATGTAAGTTTCCAGACCAATATAATCTGACAGCTCCTATATCCACGTTTTTTAAATGTTTGTGCGTTCATACTCTTCCAACATGAACGGAAAGTTTGGTGTTTAACGGGACTTTGGTGTTAAGTAATGACATTTCTATAGAAAATCTGTTATGTATAAATTAATGGAAACATTCAGTTTTTCTTTTCCATCAAATTGAGTCCTTTCACTGCGAGCTAACCCTCACTCAGTTAATGCTCAGCTTCCCTCTCGCTTCACAGGTTCAGTCCCTCAAATTACACAGAGTGTCTGACCTTGAAAATACCACCACAACAACTTATGGTACCATTGTAATCAGCTGGAGGGGGCAGGGCAACACTTTACATGTATTTATCGAGTCTATTGTAGAGGAGTGGAGTCCAGGGAGACTCTGCTGGTTGGTGTGTGTGGGCGAGAGATAAAGAAGAGAGGCTCTCTTGCTGATGTACGCACGCATGGAAGCACTCCACGCTTCGGACGCACAGTGATATCGAGGGCGCACAGGCACACACCATGTGTGCACACGCATAGCGACCGCACAAACGCACAGCAGCTGGAGAATCTTGAGTTTAGTAGGTCACATAGTGAAGATGGGAGGAAGTACATGCAGGAAGTACATGCTAGGGCCATGAAGATTTCATGGATTCAATGTATGTACGCTGTGTGCAAAATAAATTATACACACATATGCACGCACAGTATGGAGAAAATACACAGAGACAGATATAAGCTACTGTGCAACTTATGTATTCTCACACACACACATGCACGTCTCTCTATAGCTGTGAGGACACTCATTGACATAATGCATACCCTAGCCCCTTATGTTAACCTTAACCATCACAACTTAATGCCCAACCCTAATTCTAACCCTCAAACCATTAAGTCTTAACCCTCAAAAAGCCAATTTAATTGGTGAGGATCAGGCAAAATGTCCTCACAATGATGGTATAGAACTAAAATTGGCCCTTGTAACTATAGATAGACATTTTCCTTAATAAATCAATGGAGAGGGGGTTTATCAGATATTTAACCTGAAGCTTCAGTGCTTATGAGTATGTCACAATGAAATTTGCTTTATGAATATGCGAGGTAAAGATCAGTTTGTGGCTGTAGTTCCACCTCTATCTGTCCAGTATTCAAAGACATCACCTTTTAACCTTCATCCCTATATAATGTATAACATTATCTGTGAATGGTGTCAGCACATCTTCAGGAGGTGGCTGAGCACAAGCCCACACACAGTCAGACACTGCCATCTAGTGATTAGAGTGGTGAGAACACAGGGCAGACAAATGAAAATAATTAGTAATAGTTGGAGTTAGTGATTTTTCTTAAAAGTCCAGTTTGCTTTAAAAAATTGATATTGTTTCATAGTCTTTGTCAAAGTTTACCGTTTGTCTCTTCCTTCACACTTTCTTAGCCATTTTTTGTCTATTCCTCCTTGTATTTATCTTCTTCTTTCACTGCCATTTCCAATTAATTGTATCTTTAATTCAAAGTTATTTGTATGTAACCATCTTTATTTACAACAAAAACTCTGAATACATTTAACATTTACATTTGACAGTGACATTATCTTTAACATATTCTTTACAGAAAGAAAAGTAAATATGACATAGTTCATAAGAATTGCTGTGAATCTGGTAAAAAAAGAAAGTGACTTTAAAACAGTTGTTAAAGTTTCTGAGCTAAATGTGGAGAAATGTGCTGTTATTTTCTACATATAGAAGTGCTATGTGAATGTGTGTGAAGGGCTTTGTGGTTTAAAGCACTTTGATTGGTTGCCAACACTAGAAAATCACTGTTTGAATTGACCATTTACCAAAACCACCCAGCTCACGATGTAAAAAGAGAGGCTATATGATGCTGAGTGTGAGACATGAGGGAGGGGGAACAGTATGATATCCACTCTTCGCCACATTAGTTAAAGACTCTGCTGTGTGATTGCAGTAAATGACCCTTACAGAGATACAGTTACAGTAAAGTGTGTCGTCTCGCAGCTACTGATCCTGAAAAGCTTTAAGTGGACGACTTAGTCTCATGGAGCGGAGCCATAGAAACAGTCCACCTCTTGACCCTGACATTTAATCAGCTAACAACATATTTACAGCAATGCACCAGAGGAGGAAGAGGCAGAAACATGGGCCCCTACAGAATTGTACTGATAAATAGAATATATTCTTGATATTTGTGCCAGGTGGAGGTTTTCACATATGGACTCTGAAAGGAAAATGTCCAATCTAAATGTTTAATTAAATTAACAGACTTGCAGTCAGTGGGTGGCCCAAAAACAATTAGATACTGAGTCTACAACATTAATAATTAGTCTCTAATAAGTTTTTAATCAGGCCTCGTTGTCTTCTCCTAGTTCACATGGTCTTCAGCGTCTTCTGCAGGTATGGCATCTCTTTTTCATCCTGAGGTATTTGTATCCTCTTAGTTTTTTGTCAGTTTTATATCCATCACATGTTAGAAACCTCATCCACACCCCCGCTGCTTCCTGCTGTGTTCTCACTTGGGCTCACTCTGACATTTTCCAGACATTTCAACAGGGAGCTGGCAGGAAAGATCTCTCAGAAAATGTCCGGAACGACTGCCTCAGACATTCGCGTGAAGAACTTTAGGAAAAGGTCCGCTGTTCAGTGCAATGCTAAGAGCAGCTTTAGAACAAGAGTGGAGGTGACTGGGTGGAGTTGCCTTGTGAATTTTAAGAGCAGTGTATAATGGAGAGAATAAGAAGCGAATAACTGTGTCTGAACTTGTGCTGAGACTTTTCTTTGAATACGTCAACTTGTGGAAGTAAGTGTGGAGTAAGATATTGGCTGCTGTGTCTGAGGAGTGCCAGGTGTGGCAGTCTATACAAAGGGTGAAAAGAAATGAGCTAAGCGCACAGGCCCGGGCTAATAACAGCTGTGTTGGTGGTTGACAATGCATTTACCAAGTGCTTGAGTTGAGCTAAAGGAAACTGCGGGGAAGTTTAAAGTGCTTCAAGGAGCTTCTTAATCATCCGATGCCACTGAATGGCACTGAGAGCAGAAATCAATGAATAGGCCTGTTAGAGAGAAAGAGAGAGTGTCGAAGTGTTGTGTCAGTGAAGGCAGGACAGAGAAGGGCCGCTGCATCGTCTCAGCCTGTTTTGTTCTCCTGTGAGTAAACTGGAGGGTTTCCAGCAGTTTACAGACAGATGGTTAGAATGATAACTTGATGTTTGCTTTCTTTTCCAAAGCTTTATTGTTTATCACTCTGCTTCGTCTTGTGCCTGATCAGAAACACATTCAAGTCATAGACTGTAAATAAAGATGGATGTCGTGTCTCCACTTACACCTGACGTATAAATGTTTAAATATCTCCAATAGGGGTGCTGCCATCTTGCCTTCGTGATGTTATTTGGAGTCAGAGTCTATGCAATAGCGATCAAGGACTGGAGCCATGGTACCGACCAATCACAGGTAAGTCTCAGCTGTCAATCATGACGTTTTACCCAGGTTTTATTGCAAATAAGTGATTAAAAGAAGAATAACTTGAACAATCAACACTACAAATAACCTACACAGCAGTCAGCCACCAGGGGGCGATCAACAGGATTTAGCTTCACTTTAGGGGTGCTGTCAAGTTCGGCAGCACTTACTGCTGCTCAGCCACCCACGTAGTTTGCTTGTTAGCTTTGTCTATGGCACGCAATGAATGCTGGGAGAGGTCAGCCCAATGCTGACGTCTTTTTGCCATTTTGCGTCTCATGTACCATCATGTCCAAAGCCTGCTGTGCAAGGGAACACCTCTCATTTTGCTTCCAAAAATCAATGTGTATAATGACAAAGATTTTGTTGCATGGTTGTTATTTTGTGTAGATGCGTGTGCTTCTGTTACAACCCTATGCAAATACCATATGTTGACAGTGTGTATGCCTGTGCAGTCTGATGAATGGTGGCTCCAGTGTTTGTCTCGGCAGCGCGGCACAGAGATGACAATTCATGCAACTCAGGACACAGCGGCGCCGTGTCACCCACCTGACGCTCTTCCTTTGTCTTTTCACCCTCGCTGCTCCATCACCCGCAAGGTCAGTCTGACTCTGAAGGAACAGCACAGTTTCCACTTGATCCGATAAAACACACATGGTTGAGACATTGTGCACAGGCTATTTAAACACAGCAGGAACACCAATTAAAAAAAACAGAAGCAACGACTGCAAATAATTAATTTTTCTTAGGTGCATTTTCTTTTTCACATATTTCTCAGAGGAGATAAATGAGGGTTTTCTCTTTTTAAGGAAGTGTGAAGTGTGCATATGACTGTGTACTTTGTGGGGTTTGAGTAATGTGGGTAATTCCTTGGGTGGCCAGCAGATATCACTATCCTACAGTGAGGGAGAGAGAGAGAGGTGCTTATTTTCAACAGCTTCACCCATCTTTTACATAATAATTACAAAATTTCACTGATCAGGGGGATGTACACTGGCATATGTATTTTAATGATGTTCCTGATTTACAGTTGTCTCTGGACACAGATGGAAAATGGGGGGGTCATTTAATGGTGAAATTATGTGTCTCTGTGCATTAACATGCTTTTTTTCTTTTTACTCAGGCCTGTTTCTGTGCATGCATGTTCATCCTTGCCCTCTAATGACTGTGAGTATATCTGTGTTTGCCTTTTCGATATATAGTTTCATCATTACCAGCTTTGGAGCTTAGAGGAAGGAAACCAAATATCCCAGAGTTTCGACATGGCCATAGGGGGATCAGCTAATAAGCAGCCACACATTATATATTCTTACAGACTGTGACTGTGACTTTGTGTAAAAAGAAAGTGACACGGACAAAGTTGAATCTTTCTACCCACTATCTACTATAGATGTAGCGTAAGTCTAAAACAGATTCCAAAAGTACTAAGTCTTTATATACTCTTTTTGTGCTGTAACT